GTACAGATAACACAAAATCTCTGCAGTGTTTGCAGTATTACTTTTTTTAAAGGTCTCATTATCTCTCATGCACAGATATTGTTTGATCCCTTGGCAAACACGCACACATGTACACACATGTACACACCTGCACACATATGCCTGCGCGCTCGCTCAGCCAGAGTGAGTCACGACAAAACCGGTAAAGGTCAGTCTCCTGTGATCTCCACCTTTGTGCAAGTGTGTGTTAGCGTGTGTGTGTGTCCGTCTCAACAATGTAGAACCATTTTAAACAGCTTCATGTTTCTTTTTTTTGCCTCTTCTTTGATCTTTTATTTTCAGTTGTACAAAAGGTCAAAGGAGAGCTTTGTTGAAGGCAAAACCGTGTAGTTTTATATAATTTTCTACCTCATTCTCTGACCCAGAACTGCTGCTAAAATCATAGCATTTAAGTCCGCACTGAATAAATGCAATCCCAGCCCTGCAATCATACCTCAGCTTCAACATCAGTTGTTTTTACCCTTAGTAATTATAAAAATCCTGATTAACAATTATAATTAAATAACATCAAAAGCAAGCTGATTGAGCACAACAACTATGCTAAGTAAAACTCAGTTTGCATGTTTTAATCTGTTTCTGGGGAGTGTGTAAATTTCCACTAATTTTAAACTTACCAAACAGCAAACAGCACTGCTACATTTTACCAGGCAGCAGCACTGCATATTATTTTTTATTAATTAAAACTTTAGATTACAGGTTTGGCATCAGTATTTGTATAAAATAAAAGACGGACTGACTATGATCACATAGATTTGGCTCTATCTTCAATGCTTCTTCCAGCACCCCGCACGTGTACATAAAGACATGAGGCATGGACACAAATAAATTAGCTTGTGTGCACACACTTATTGTATTCCAGTGCAAAATTAAAATATATATTTAAAAAAAAAACACCTTGCAGCCCCCTCACGTACATCCCCAGCCAGAGACTACCCACTGAAATACATACTCAGCCCAACAGAGACGATTGAGCTTTATTCTTGTGACTAAAGGAGCATCTGTTCTCCTTCTTGCTCAGCCAATACCCAGAGACAATCAGAGAAACACGGGAATTGTTTTTTTTTTTTTCTGTGACTCATTTCTAAGGTCAAAGAAATCTTATAAAAAGCGCAAGCAGAAAGACTTCATCGTGGTGAAAACCTGTGTGTCTTTCACAGTTCAGTGTTGGAATTTAATTTGGAAGTTATTGCACAGTCTGTCCAATTTGTGCAGAATAATTTGTCTTCATTTAGGCTCAAATATCCAGTGTGAGTGTTTGCTAGGGGGAGCACTAGAGATTTTCTGAGAGATTTGCAAGGTGAATAGCATCAGTAGAAAATGATAAATCCTTAGCAAACACACTGCCTGATTCTCCCCTCCGCCACCGCCCCGCCGATGTCTCATTTCCGGCTCCCAGTTATCCTCTTGGAGAACAGAAAAATGATTTGAGGTGCGATTTGATTTTCACACCTCAGCTTAAACGTGTTGAGACCCTTGAATGATTGCAAAAGGGGTTGCAGAGCTATGTGTATTTCTTCTCTGCAGAAATGGTGAAATTTCAAGCAGGTGTACTTCACAGCTACGCTCCTTCATGTCTAACCTTTTTTCCACAACACCTTTTTGTCTTATGAGCTTCTACTACTTTTTTGCACCTCATATTTTCTTAATAAATCTGTTTTGATCCATTTTTTTTCTATAAAATCTACCTTTACTGCTGTTTTTTCCCCAACACACTCTATAAACCAAAGCCTTATCTGAGATTGGCCATCATTTATCTTTGTCACTACAGCTTTTACATGTATAAGTTGGATGTCATCATTTGTTACCTCTTTCTGTGCCAGTAAAAAAAAGACAACTGACAAATTAATGGTTTGACTCCCACACAATGGCCACGATGAGATGTGTCTGCTTCACTGAAGATCTGAGGGGCGATTTGAGCTTCACAGCATGTGTTGTGTGCGCCAGCTGAGATACTACAAAGAAGATGAGAGAGTGCGACAAAGAAATAGAAGCTCTCCCTCCAGATCTAATAAGCCACCTCTCTTCCTTCTGCTCACATCCTTTTCCCATTTCTCTTTGTCATTTCTCCTTTCACCCTGCCATTTTTCTTCGTGTCTGATCATTCCTGTCTTTTTGACTTTATGTCTCATGCCACTCTCATCTTCCTTCCTCTCGTCTCTGATAATGCAAAGGGCACTCTGCTTCAGACAGTAAGATCAAGAGAACGTAATACATAAAGATCAAAAGCCATATTTGTTTGGTAACGCAGCCACAATCCATTCAATTTGTCATCTGTGCTGGCTGCAAGTCCAAAAAGAATCATAACATGTTTTGTTCTGGGGGGTTCATTAGTAGCATGCATGAGCTGTGGCTTGTCCTTTTTGGCTCTGTAATGGAAATGTGACTAATGGGAGATCTGAGAACGCCAGCTGGGTGTCCTCCCAGGAGCATGCTGATTTTCAGCATGTAGCTTTGGACACATTCTGGGAAAATCAAACATGCCTATTGTCTGTACATCTTCTAAATTGAATCAAAAGTTTCCTGTGTTACTCCAATTGACACAACTTATCTCAAATGTCACATCCACTGAGTCTTAACCCACTCACTGTGAAAAAAACCACACACATATGATTGTGATGTCTGATATTTAGCAAACAAAAACGTATAAAGGAAATTATCATTAGATACATTTATTTTATTGTAAAATAAAATTAAAAATTAGTGGCCTTTGCCAGTACTATGAATGCAGCTTATAGCCATTTGCCAAGATAAAGCTCTATTTTAACATGCAGGTATAAATAGTTCTAATTTATTATATCAAATTTTTGTTGTTACCACCATGTCTGCATGCCTAAGCGCACTGAGTTGGACTGACTGATTCTTATATAGCACTTTCCTCCTTTCCCAGAGCACTCAGTGCCACACTCACCCATTCACACACTTTCTTCTATGATTTTCAGTGTTTCCAAGCTAACGTTCACACACATTGATATTCTAATGGATGCATCGGGTTAGTATCTTGCTCAAGGATACTTGGCATGCAGACTGTGATTGAACCACTAACCCTCCAATCTAACCTGCCAATCAGTAGACAACCTGCTCTAATTCCTGGGCTACAGCCACTTGTCACGGTCCTTGGTTTTTTCGACCCGGTGTTTTGAATTTCCTGTGTTTTTGTCATTTTGAATTATGTATTAAGTCCTCAGTGTCAGTCTTTAGTTATTCTATAGGGTAATGTTCCTTGTATACCTTATTTAGTAATTTTCCCTCTGTGTAGCGGACCCCTGTGTCTCCCTCTGTGTGTCTACGCCTACGTTCACACTGCAGGTGCATCAAATCCGACTTTTTTGATCCTATGCGACCCATATCCGATCATGGTATGACGGTGTGAACAGCACAAATCCGATAGTTTCAAATCCGATCTGGGTCACTTTCATATGTGGTACTGAATCTGATACATATCTGATGTTTTAGAAAGCGACTGCTGTTTGAATGTTCATGTCGCAGCAAATCCGTCTTTTACGTCACTGACACAAGACAGACGCCAATTATCAGCGCCGGAGAAGACATCGCGAACGCTTCCTGGCCATCCAGTGAAACTGTTGGGAAAACAACGTTGGAGAAATGTGAACATTTTATTTGTACTGTATAATCTGCAGATTCTGACAGACATTTCCAACTATCCTTTGAAGCACCGCTCCTCTCTAAAACAGCAATAAGGATCATTATTAGGCCATATGTAAATAACAAAATAACTTTATAACTTAAAGCAAAATTGGGAAACGTAAAGTCCGAAACGAGTCTTTATATTAACGGCCATCAGTCAAACAATACTGTTTGGTCTGGGTCTAAACAGCGCGTTGTGTGTGACGTCTTCTTTTGCGCATGCGGGCGGGTTTGAGCGTTCACACTAGAGCATGTTTGCTGTCACATTTTATTTGTAGTGTGAACAAGCAGACAAAAAAATCGGATTTGATCAAAACAAATGGAATTGAGCATTAAGACCTGCAGTGTGAACGTAGCCTAAGTGGATATAGTGATGTGAGTATTGAGCTTTGTTCCCACTCCTTGTGTTCTGTGTTTCCTCATCCCGTCATGTGCTCCTCCATGTTCTTTCTCCCTCCAGGCTATTTCTGTGTACTTCCTGTTTTACTTTGAAGGTCTGTGTCTCATGTAAGTGTATTCTGCTTTGCTTCCTTGTCTCATTGGTTCTGATTTCTCCCAGCTGTGTTTCCCTCCTGTTTCCTGTTTCCTGATTGTCCCTGTGAATATATAAGCCTTGTGTTTTCTCCTGCTGGTTGCTGGTTTGTTGGTGATGTCTCCCTGTGTTTCTCTGCATGTTATCCTGTGAGTTTTAGATTCAGCTCCATGTGTTTAGGTTTTCCCTGTTTAATTATTTCTTAGTTCCTGTCCTCGCCGTCTCCATTTAAATAAACTCACTCCTCATACCAACCTCTGACTGCACAGGGGTCCTCACTTTACCTCCACACAGCCCGCCTCGTCAGCCGTGACGCCACCCATGTGATTGGCTGATTAGATATTGAGTTGAACACGTGTAATAAAATTGCTGATGACTATACAGACACACACACCCACACACACACACGCATACTTGGCAAGATTGTTACACCAAAGAAACCGTTGACAAACACAAATTTTCTTACTTTTTAATGCTACGTTTATAATAATAAAGGTGCATTTAAAATATCTGTCAGTAGCTTCATCAAGATGACCTCCCTGATTGAAAGAACCCAAAAAACAGTGTAATGTCTTAACTCATTTTGTTTTAATAAGAACTGGAATTTGCATAAAATCTGAAATGCAGAAATCATTGTGAAAAAGAAAAACACGCTTTCAAGAGAATTTCAAAAACATCAATGTCCAGAAGAGATGTGAATATTAACACAGGAAACATCATTACTATTCGAATCTAGTGTTCCTGTGTATGTTCCCCCCGATTACATTCATTTATAGCATCTTACCTTCTTTGTTTTGTCCATCGCCTTCAGGATGGACATGTTCAGGTCTTCTAAGGCAGCAAGAACGTTCTCGTATTCACCGAGGTGCTGGGAGAAGTACTCTTCGTAAAGATAATAGGAAAAACCAAACCAAAAAACATTTTGTGAGTCAGACAACTGGGACAGGGCTGTAGGTGTTTTGTTGAAGAAGCACTGGTGTGACACCTCACTCGCACTGCCTTAGGGGTTTGGTCTGGGAGCATGTGACCATGTCTAACATCTTACTTTCCTATCTTTACTTTTCTGTCTGTATTTAAAAGACTCAACTTACCACAGAGTTCATCCGTGTCCAAGTTGCTGTAAAAGAAGAAAATGACAGGTATTTAAATTAAAAACAGACATCTCCAGGGACAGAGGTACCTTTTTCCTGCAAAGATCTCTTTGACACAGTCTTCGCTTTGATGAATCAATGTGATGACAGATAGAACTGAGTAAAATATGCGATGAGTAACAGAATAATTTTGGTGTTTTGGCCTCCAGAGGCATGAGTGAGAGACAAATTGGCCAAATGGGGAGTTTCAGAAATGTTTCTAATAAATGTTCATGCATGGATGCTTTTCTGGGTGGTCTGAGTATTTTTGTTCCTGAAAGAGAGAGCCCAAAAGAGAAAAGAAGTGGAACAAAGGAGAGGTGACGAAGTGAAGAGAATATTAGGCACTGTATCAGCACTACAACTATCTTCAGACGACACAAAAAACACATCTTATTTCTTGTTCTAGTCATTGATATCAGGGGATTTCACTTGTTTAAACCGCATTTCATGCAAGCCGTGGCTGCTGTTTGCAAGACAAGAGTGCTGCAATCAATGATCCAAACAGGAGAAAACGGAGAGAGGAACCAGAAGTCAGACAACTAAGTAACGGACCATTAGCCTCTCTCCTGTTTTGCTTGCAGCCTGGTTGCTCTGACACTGAAGGTACATTACCATTGCCCTGAAGATTCGTTACCTTTATAAATAAATAAAACAGCCTTGAAATACTGTAAATACAGTTAATTCCATATCAATAATCTGCCATCCATACATGCAGCATGCTGTGTATGCCTGTTTAAATCCACTGTATTAAATAATGTCAGTGTTCGACATGGACCTGAGCAGGTTTAACAGCCTGTCAGGGAGACCTTACAACCTGGAGACTCGTTCTTTAATCAATATAGGATTCAACCAGAGACTTCCAATTGACTTCCTTACAACTTTGTCATCTGCCTCCTCCTGTGTTCATTTCACAGGTGGAGGCACACATTAACACGGAGTCTGGTAAAGATATTAGGAAACTGGACTCCACTGCATGTCAACAGTATGCATTTTTTCTTTTGTTGTTGTTGATATTTTCTTGAATACATATCCAATAATAAAACTAAATATCATTAATTGAGTTCTGCTGAGCTCTGCTTAGGAATAAAGGGACATTTTAGGTCTCTATTCTCATTACAAATATCACATCAAATCTACACATACACACTCACGTCATCTGCTTGTTTCTGAAGTAGTTCGATTGTGTACTGTTTTACACATTCACTTGACTCAGTGAAAGGTTGTTGGGTCAATTCCAGCTATAGTCACAAATCCTCTTTAATACTGAGTCAGGAAGAGATCTGGTGTAAAAATGTGTTTGTGAAATAATTATTATCACTTTAAAATATTAAGGAAATAGACAGACGTTTAGATGGTGATGACTGTAGAAGCAAGTGGTGACAAAGCCAGATAATTTCTTCTTACTTTTCAAATGGCCAAATAATTTCTTTTCTTTTTGTTAAGTCACCCCTATCATTGGCTTATCTTGTTGAGGCCATGTAAAAGTATACGATGAGGACTTAGGCACTAATGACCTCTTAACTAATTACACCTTGCTGTTGCTGCAGATCAGAAGATGCATACACTTTGGGTATAAAGGGATGAACATGGTCAGCAACAATAATCAGGTAGGCTGTGGTGGTTAAATGATGCTCAGCTGGTGCTTAGGAGGCTGAAATGTACCAAGAAAATATCCCTAACAACATTAAACCACTACCTTCTGCTTGAACTACTGATACAAGGCTGATACAATGCTTTCATGTTTTTTATCAACATGCCTAAAAAGTTGCTGTCATGTGGTTGGTTGTGTGTATATAATAAATTTAGTTAGTAACTATATTCTGATTTTATCCTTTTAGAAATGTTTATAAAAATCAATTAAACTTCAGTTTTGATGCCTCTGTGCTCAGTCTGCAAAAAACTTTTCTGAAAAAAATGAAATTCAGTTGTTAGTAAGTTTAACTTTAGCTCTGTGAGTGGATGCACAACCCTTCAAAAGGCTCTATAACTGGTTAGGTGAGGAGACCAGACTTACTGATCGCTGTGGCCTCCCCAGAGCTTATTTTTTCTTTTGTCCACTTGCAGTTTATGTGAGTTTGGACACCAAAACATTGAAACTGTTTAACATATTGATTTAAATGTAAATTTTCCAAGGTGATCGTTGTGTGATGTAACGCCGAGTGCAAATCCTGCATTCTTATAATTGTTGTGATGATGTGATGAGCTGCAGCAGCTATTTATTTAGAGAGAGAATCAACCTGTATCAAACCACTTGAGTCAGAGCGTTTAATTTTCTGGTTGTTTAATTACACCAATGAAGTATGTAACATGATTGTCACACTGTGTGGAGTGAACAGAGATATTTTAATAAGCTTCCTGATAAGTGTACTCATTAAGCAGTGTAAATAGAATTAACACTGTTTGCTTCGGGTGACATAGACAACAACAACCATCCTGTGACTATTACTCTATCAACAGGCACTAGGGCCCAGTGTGTAAACTACAAGCCCCACAACATACAGAACAAGTTCCTTTACATTGTGTAGTTTTAAGCCAGCTCTTTGTTTATAACAGCTGGCTGAATGCTCAACAGCTGCTTGCTTTAAAGCTTACAAAAGTCTCTTTCTAGTGTTTTTAGACCACTGATGCAGAACCTGCATCTGATTAATGTGAGGGACACCAAAGAAAACTTAACTAATAGCTTTCACAGAATGAAGTTTCTCCTTGTGAAGCACTTTTTGAAGAACTATTTTCAACCTGATTCAGACTGCAGATCTTTATTAGTACGCATAATCATCATTATTTTTCAATGTCTAACGTCAAACTGAGGGCCAGGTGAGGTGGTTTATTCAAAGTGGTAATTCATCACAAAAAAATACTGAGTGCTCTCGAGTCTTTGACATCTCTATTAGAAAATGTATTTCTATTGAAATAAATCACTATCATCACTTCTTCTGTTGTGAATACCTGCAGTTTAGTTTCATAAAACCAAATGTCCAGCAGTGTTGATTCAGTGCACAACAGAGTCAGTGGCTAAAGTGCTAAAAGTGGCGCTCTGTGTGAAACCGCTAACGCAAACGCAAACGCTAACCATAAATTCTCCATTTCTTTGGCAGGTAATGAAGGGTAAACCAAATAATAATGTGTGATTATATACTGGTTGTACACGTTGATAGATGATACAGTTACTCTATATTATACTGTGTATATTTATGACAGCACTTGTTACCTTGTTTGTGCACATGCTAATTGAAGCGTGGCACAGAAGCTAGCATGGCTTTACACTTTTATTTCTCTTCTGTTATGACTATCTAAACATTAGATCAATAACAGATGCTTTTACTAACCTAACCATGTTCTACATCACTCTACAATAACACACATATATTTAGTTCTACTTGTTTCCTTTATATAAAACTTTGATCGGGGACTTTAGGGTTAAGGATGCCAGTGTTATATAGCTGGAAGACAGAGATTAGAAATAGACTTACATACTAATCTAAGCTTTGTCAAAATGGCACTAAAAGGTTTGTTCACCTGCTAAATGCCTCTCAGACAGAAACAGTGCTTCAGTGCTGCACTGCTATTATATAACTGAAACTAGCAGCTATTTCTAAATATCTTGTGGCTCAGCGGGTCATTTGCTCACAAATGCCTTCAGTGTAATCACAGAGGAGTGACTGTATAAGTATTATCTGTATCCTGATTAGGACTGATGCAGGAGCTGGTTCACATTATAATGTCTGCAGGGAGCATAAGTAATGTGGTTTCTCATGTGTGTGATTTAAAAGAATTGGTGTGAACTAAAAAGCAGAAAAATCAGTGCAAATCGGTCGACAGTAAAGTGTCAGTGTGTCTTTGGCTTCCTCTCACCGTTAGGTGTTTGGGACATTGTGAATATAAAGGGAACATTGCACATCAGTGCCTGATTTTCAAAAGTAGATGATCTGTATTTGCACACGTTGTGCTTCCACCTCCAGCTGAGTCTTGCAGAACAAAGCTGCAGGTCAGGAGGAAAAGAGGAAGACCACAGAGAAGGTTCACAGGTGTAGTGAGGGAGGACATTGGGATCATCACTAACAATGATTTAGGCCTCATTGTGATGCATTAATGGTTTCCCTGATTGAAAGGTGACTTATAATACACAAGTATTTGGAAACCATGTTAGACACTAGCCTGATATTTGAGAGTAATAATAATAATAATAATAATGGATTGCATTTATATAGCGCTTTTCGAGACCCTCAAAGCGCTTTACAATTCCACTATTCATTCACTCTCGCATTCATACACTGGTACACACTGACATGGTGTACAAGAAAAGCATGCAGAAGCTCACTTTATTTCTCTACTTGTGGCAGTCTCTCAGGGTGAAACAAAAATCTGCTAAGGTATTACAATAAAAAAATTCTTTTTGAAAGCAGTAGACTAAATTCAAAATGACCTCTCAAAGCCTCAGTGGGAAAGCTCCAATAACAAATTTTACCAGCCATTTCATTTATATTGTTGTATTATTTTAGTTAGTTCACAAAATAATTTGAGCAAGTAAATCTCTTCTTACTTTTAAAAAGATGAATGTTATTAAAAAGGAAAACACAACAATATCGTTAAGAATTTTGAAACCGATTACTCTCGCCCCTTACCTCTCCTCATCTGAATGGAATAAACTGATAAGAAGGTAAAGCGAGTCTTACTCTGTGTTATGGGTATCGATCGTGTGAAAGAGCTCCTTCAGTTCCTCAGCTGTCAGGACTCCGTCAGAGAAGTAGGATTTGAATTCATCAAAGGACAGCTTTCCATCATCTGGGGGTAAAGAACAAATCTTCTCAGGATGGCTTCTTTCGCAACACTTTAAAACATCGTGGATTTGGTTTGTGTTTGCAAGACATCAGACTATAAGAAAATCTGTCCAAAAAAATGTAAAAATGAAACTGGTGGATCATTTTGTTATAAAACTGATAAGATGACATTAATAAAGAATATTTGTCTTGAGCTGGTTTGACCTGAGGTGTCTTTAGATGTTAAAAATTATACCAGTAAAACATGGCATCAAGTTTAAACATCAGATTCTCTTTCACATCAAACGAAGAGTAAATATAACATAACAAAATAAACCAGCAAAGGTACATTGATCTTATTTTTATTATCCCTCTCTCCATGTATAAAGCAGGTCATCACCATTTGTTCCACTAGACTAACATTATATCAAACAGTCAGTCATTTTTTATGATTTGAGGCTCTGCAATTATGAACAGAATAAAAGTAGTGTGAAATATTCATGAGCTGAAAATAAACACAATTTCAAAACAGAGCGCTCCAAACTGAACGCCCTCCGGCGAAAACAAAGACCAACGACATCTCGTTTTTCACGCAGCTCTGGCTCCAGTGGTGTCTTCCTGTTTTTGTGACACAGTGTGGCCCATCTTCAAATTGTCACTGCTAACCTGATCTGGAGGAAATGTGTAGCATATTTCTATAGCTGCTGTGAGGGAACACAATCACATGCCCAAAAATAGAGCCTACAGTGAGTCACTGTCAGTGCATTCAGAAATACGCTCGGAGCAGGTTTGGCATGTGATGCTCCTTGTGCAACAATAAAAACAAATGTGGGATGACTTCTATTGCTGCATGACAAGGCTTCAAATCATACATGGCGTGGGATGGATATTTAGTAGATGATGGAGCATGTCATGCCATGTGAACAATACTGATTTGCTATTTTTGGTCATTTCTGCTAAATTCAACTGGACTGCATTTATGTTGTTTACACTACAAGCCGCAGTCACACATTCATGCAGACTTTTAATGGGTAGATATAACAAATATACTAATGACATGAGGGGCAAATGGGTCAGCAACTTGTCCAAGAACACTTCTACATGCTGCCGGGAGGAGTTGGGGATCAAACCATCAACCTCCTGCTACAAACTGAGGCCCCAAATTAAAAATATATGCAGGTCAAAGAAAGACAACTAAATATAGAGGTCTGTTAATTTGTCGGTATGTTATATGACTTATAGGAAACTTGATTCTACTATTTTCCTTTTTAACATTTTAAAACAAACAGCTGTTTCCAGAAATGGGTGCTAATCTTTACTTGTTTATTGCAAAGTACACCCGCCAGGTTATCGCTGATGGACGTTATAGGATGGACATAGCGGCAGTTTTTTCTGACGTCCCCTTCTGAACCCTCGACATGAACATTTTGGCCATTTCCAGCTTGTTTCTATGAAACTGTCAAACAGGGTGAATCTTAGACATCGTGGCTACTGCACTCATGAGTCCTCAGTCACACAGACCAGTCGGGAAATCCCTGGGAAACATCAGTTGCTAGAAAAAATGTGTATTGCCCGACCAACTGGCAAGTGGCTGCAGGTAGTCACTGGGTGAAAGTGGTTACAAAGAGGTATACAGCATTGTATCAAAAACAGTGGGATTTGTTTGGGTGCTTGTAGGTTCTCATGGTTACGTGTAGTCTGCATGGAAGACGCAGACTTGTCTGCAATGCAACTCGCCAAGCAGTCGTGAAACTTGAAAAAGAGTGACCCAGACTACTCGCCTTCAACATAAAAGCTGCACCTTTTGAAACGTGTTGGTTGCATCAATTAAGAGCAGCTTTTAATTTGAAAAGCAAACGTAATAATTTGCACAAAGTATCAGGACTGCTTTCTAACTACTGACAGATTTCAGCAGGGGTCATGACTTTTTGTGCCTTTTTGCACCTTCCTTTCTTCATATGATCAACACCTTTTCTCTCTATCATTTCTTCTATTTACACATAACTTAATTCATGGACATTTATGGTGTGATTTCTTTGCATGTATGGATTGGATGGGTTGTTACCAACATCTGGTAAGGATTTCCTTATAAACTGATTTATTTTTTTCTTATATTTATTGTTTTGTGGAAATTAATGAATGGTTTGGTCACACTTTTCACAGTAATTTAACAACAAATAGTTTGCAAGTGTTTTCAGACAAGTCAGGATCTTCCATGAGTGACTGAGGTCTAAGGTTGGCGCTTGTCAGTCACAAGATAACCACAACTTAAAGCATCATCTAACCAAATTGCTAAATTTCCTACTCCCCTGGCTAAATGTTAAATTGAAATGGTAAACTGTGATTTAGCATTATACTCTAATGAACAGCACTAAAGCACAGAAGATGTAATGTAATGAGGCGGTGAATAGACTCTAAACTAGCAAATGTGTTTAGAAAGCAATCAGAAAAGTGAGATAAAAAAAATAAAGCCGCCCCCTGCAGGTCATTAGAGTAAATGCAGATTTGAGGCACTTTGATGTTTGTCCTCATTGTTCAGACCCAGAGGCTACTTCCATCTTTTATATACAATCTATGTTTATAATACACTTCAGTAAAAGTCAGAGCATCAAAGTCATTTCTTACAAAAACATTATTTAAATTTAAAAAAAAATTACATTAGAATTAAATGAAAGAAATTTAGATCTTGTTTTATTTATTTCAGAGCATATTTAATATCTCAGCAAACAAAGACTTGCTTGAATTGTGTGGTGTCAAAACAGTTTTTAAATGAAAAGTAAACAGTGAAGCAGCTTAAAGAAGCTAAGATGGAGGATTTATGTGCATCCTATATTACACTTGCATGTGTAACAGAAAGAGATTTATTTATTATTTTAGTGCTTTTTGGATTCCCTGCCTTTGTTGTCTGCTCTTCTCTGATCAATAAGAACATAAAAGATGTATTTTTGTATGTTTATCCTGCATTAGAGAGTGGAGGTGAAACAACAACATAATTTGCCACCTGATAGGGCACCTTTGAGTCATTTTGTATGGACCGCTATCATAAAAGTGTTCACAAATGTCAGTGTTTTTCTTTGTAAATGCTCTGAAACTGAACCTCAGTGGGCATGGTCAGTTTCCTGTTTCCATGGAAACTGACAGAGTATTAGCAGAGAGTCATGATCGGAATTTCATTGAGAAAGTAATCTGTGAAAGAAAGGTTGAAGTGACGCTCAACACAGAAGAGAGTGGTGTTGGTGTGTGAATTTGAAACGAGCCAGATGGTAAAGTACTCACCGTTTTTATCGGCCCTCCGTAAGATCTGTAATTAGGAAATGAAGAAAAAAACAACAGGATATTAAAGCAGGTTCCACACCACCAGAGTTAAAGTAAGTAAGTGTGTGAGTGCGAGGATCATCGATCACTCTGCCGAAAGCAGTGCGTCATTAAATTATTGATAGTGCTGTTCCAGAGTCCAGAGGAGATGAAAGGCGGAGTGGCAATGACCACATCAGCTGTAAAAGGCTTGAGCCACCATCCTCAAAATAGCACATCCTACTTTTACTTACCGTGAAGAAGACTCTGCACAGGCGGCTTTGGAGGATAAATCTATTTCTACATGATGTCTGTTTTAAATTCATTCATTTATTTGTGGGATTTCCAGACTAAGAGGATTCTAGGCCAAAGCTGCACACAGGTTAAAATAAAGAAAAAGAAAACTACTATAAAATAGCCACCCACCATCTTCAAGCTCCTGGCAGTCGATTCTGTGCTCTGATTTACTTTTTTTTCCCAGTTTTTTTTAATCTGCTGTACAAATACTGCTTCTCTCTGTCTTCATCTCTTAGTTAAATTCAGTTCCTCTACAAAGTGACAAAGCAGAAAAAAATTGTTTTGTTTCATTATTATTTCAAATATCTAATCAACCATTCACTTGGCAGGAACCATCACAACCATGTTAGAAAGTGGTCCAAAAAAGAGAAAGAAAATATCCAGTGAGTGGCTGTTCTCTGGGTGAAAATTCCAGAATGAACAGACTGCTTTGAGCTGATTGGAAGGCAAGAGTAACCACTCGTTGGAACAAAGATATCCATAAGAGCATCTCTAAATGCCCTACATGTTGAATTCTGAAGTAGATGTGCTACAGAAGCAGAAGACCACACTAGCTGCTACTTTTGTCAGCTAAGAACAGGAAACTGAAGCTACATGTCACACTGACTCACCAAAACTGGACAACAGAAGACTAGAAAAAAAAACCAAAACATTATCTGGTTTAATTAGTTTCAATTTCTGTTGCTACACTCGGATGGCAGGGTCAGAATTTGTCATAAACAACATGGAAGCATGGATCCATCCTTGTATCGGTGATTCAGGCCGCTGGTGATGTAATGGGATGGAAAATATATTCTTGGCACAGTTTGGATCCATTAGTACTGACTAAGCATCATTTTAAGGCCACAGCTTACCTGAGTTGCTCATCTTTATAACCACAGTGTCCTCATGTTCTCACAGCTGCTTCCAGCAGGATCACATATCATCTCACAAAGTTTAAAATCATCTCAAAATGGTTTCTTGAGCATAACAATGAGCTCCCTGTACTCAGATGTCACGACATCTAAGTACAGGGAGTCCCCAAATCTCAAACCAACTGAGCACCTTTGGGATGTTGTGGAACTGGAGATTTTCATCATGGATGTGCAGCCAAAAATCTGCAGCAACTGTGTGATGCTGTCATATCAGTACAGACCAAAATCTGTGAGGTATGTTTCCAGCACCTTGTTGAATGTGTGCTATAAGGAATTAAGACATTTCTGAAGGCAAACATGGGACAAACTAGTACTAAGCTTCATGGTGTACCTAAATAAAGTGTGTGGTGAGTGTACATAAATTAGAAAAGACTACCAAAAAAGACATCACTTTGTATTATAAGAAACTAGAATAGGATATTTTTTAAGTCATGGTATTTTAATTACATATAATTAAGTTTTTATCAATTAAGTATAAAAATAATATAGATATTAATAAATGCTCAAAATAAGCACCTGTTCCTGATGTAATTGTGTCTGCTCTCTAAAGCTGTCGTGTCTGTTCTTTATCACCCCGTGAACGCATTGTCACAATCTTAACAGCACAGGCTTAAATAATATTTAGAGTAATCTTGATGACTACTCCTGCCATTTCTGCTTTTACTCCTGTAATTAAACTCAAGTCGGGGTCTCATCTCATTTCATACCTCAGCTCACCCTAATGAATCTTTCAAATGCTATTAATAAAATAAATCTCACACCGCAACAACGGCAGCAGAAAAAAAATGCAAACATCTGAGATAATGTCAGTGATTGGGTTGAAGATATGTGTATTAATGAGGCACAACGAGGTTGAAGCTCAGAAGAAACAAAATATACCCAAGAAGCAACAATTTGTGACCAGCTCTCCCCTAAAAACAAGAACTGGTTTGATTCCCAGTAATCCAGTTGGAGAAGACAGATAATGAGTTTGACATTAGAGAGATATTTGGCTGGATAGATAGAGGTCTCTACCTTTAATAACTCTGGTTAAATGCTAAATGTACTACAAAGCACTTTTCTCCTCTTACCGAGCACTCAAAACACTTCACTTGGTTCATTTGCTTTCATTCTGTGCCTTCCTGAAAATACTGATGGCAGCCAGCAGGTTTATGATTAAGATATCACAAATGAATGAAAGCATGGAGGGAAATTTAATCAGTAGGTGGATAAGAGGCAGAAGGCAGTCTGATTACGAGCAGGGGTAAAGCTGCTAAGACACAAACACTTGGGGAAGGGTCATTAGATCAGGATGCAAGTTTAAGATGTGTGAGGAATCAATCCTAGGCTTATTTTATTATCCACACTTACACCCTCTGCACTTGCCTCCATCCCTAACAAAAACAGGACCCAAACAGAAGACCCGCTTAAGGAAAAATCACCAGCATGTCTACAACTACCACCTATGGCCTGGTTTGTTTGTTTTTCTTTGCACAGATTCGCAGTGAAAATTAGGAAATTAAGTGAATGATGTTCGTGATTTAATTGAATATGTACCCCCACCCCCTGCACAATACTCAAACAAAACCTACACCCATGTTTGCATGATCATTTCCCCCCACAAAAAAATACAGGTTTATCTTTTCAAATTAGAAATATGTTAATGTTAATTATATTTTTCATATTTAAGCTGAATTTGTGAACAAACATATCAACAAAATATGTTGATATTTTGTTGATATAATTAATTTGCAGATTTCTACAAATTAATTATATTACTATGTTTGATTTTAAGGCTGAGGAGAAGAAAAAAGAGTAAGCTTTGAAATCCTTCTACCAAATAGATAAAGTACATGTGAGTTGTATGAAATAATTACAAGAAAGAAAGCCCTCTGTACACGTCATACATTAGAGGAATCCATAATAAATCAAGTGAGCCACAATCAACACTAATAAGTCTTATTTATTTCTAATAAATTGAAATCTGTTAACTGTAATGCATTTTGTAAGGATCACATAATCCTGGTATATATATTTTTCTACAGTTATGTTTTAACAGTGTTGATTTTTAAGTGTAATTTTGGTCTTAATAAGGATAAAAAACACTTGATACTTACATCAATAAAAATGGACATTCCCTTTTTTAGCTCTATTTGAGCGCTGGGCTCCTCGGACACCAGCTGAACCTCTTCTGAACAATCCATCATCCACAGTGTAGCTTCACTTGTGATCTGCAGAGGAATGTGTGTCCGCTTGAACCTCTTATTCTCTGAATCCGACAAGACACGCGAAGTAACGCACAAGTTCCGGGCTGGAGTGCCACAATTAAACGTTTACTTTTAAAAGCCGAAAATAAGAGTTAATGCGATCCTTACACTGCACGTAACGAAGCCCAAATATAACTGCCTTGCGGTCAGCTTTGAGACTGCTTTTTCCTCCCTGTTAGGCAGCGATGTGCAGCTATATGCTTTTATTTTGACAGCTAAATCAACAGCCTGCCACATACTGACTGTCTGTGTTGATCCCGCCTCAGTTGATGCAAAGTATTCGTGTTTTTCACATTGTGATGCACGGGCTTTAAAATATATAAATAAATACATTAAAACTTCACCTGAGACACTCTGACAACATCGCTGCATTCAGCCAAATGAGCAGCACTAATAGCTTACTCCAACAGGGGGCTGTTACATAAATGTGAACTTTTTGTAAAAGCTACAAAGGCCACATAAAAGGTCGGCTTATGATGTCCTCTCTAGACAGATCCCCCTCCCCCCAGGTAGTTGAATGCTTGAAAACGGTGGTCTCACTTCAACACACAAAAATGGCCAGTCTCTCAAGGACTGACATTTCTGTGTTTTCGCTGCAGTATATGCTCTCTTTTAATCTGACCATAATGAAAACGTATACAACTAAAAAAACAAACAAATTAAAAAAACAACAAAAAAAACCAACAACAGCTCATTAAGAATGATTTCTATGGTAGCTTTGCATTAGCAAATCTGATAATAATAATAATAATAATAATAATAATAATAATAATAATAA